TCTTCTTCTTGGATTGATCCCTTGATCATTATGTAGTGTCCTTCCTTGTCTCTTGTAACATTCTTTATTTTAAAGTCTATTTTATCTGATATGAGTATTGCTACTCCAGCTTTCTTTTGATTTACATTTGCATGGAATATCTTTTTCCATCCCCTCACTTTCAGTCTGTATGTGTCCCTAGGTCTGAAGTGGGTCTCTTGTAGACAGCATATAGATGGGTCTTGTTCCATTCAGCAAGCCTGTGTCTTTTGGTTGGAGCATTTAATCCTTTCACATTCTAGGTAATTATCGATATGTATGTTCTTATGACCATTTTCGTAGTTGTTTTGGGTTTCTTTTTGTAGGTCCTTTTCTTCTCTTGTGGTTCCCACTTAGAGAAGTTCCTTTAGCATTTGTTGTAGAGTTGGTTTGGTGGTGCTGAATTCTCTTAGCTTTTGCTTGTCTGTAAAGCTTTTGATTTCTCCATTGAATCTGAATGAGATCCTTGCTGGGTAGAGTATCTTGGTTGTAGGTTCTTCCCTTTCATCACTTTAAGTATATCATGCCACTCCCTTCTGGCTTGTAGACTTTCTGCTGAGAAATCAGCTGTTAACCTTATGGGAGTTCCCTTGTATGTTATTTGTCATTTTTCCCTTGCTGCTTTCAATAATTTTTCTTTGTCTTTAATTTTTGCCAGTTTGATTACTATGTGTCTTGGCGTGTTTCTCCTTGGGTTTATCCTGTATGGGACTCACTGCACTTCCTGGGCTTGGGTGGCTATTTCCTTTCCCATGTTAGGGAAGTTTTTGACTATAATCTCTTCAAATATTTTCTCGGGTCCTTTCTCTCTCTCTTCTTCTTCTGGGACCCCTATAATGTGAATGTTGGTGTGTTTAATGTTTTTCCAGAGATCTCTTAGGCTGTCTTCATTTCTTTTCATTCTTTTTTCTTTATTCTGTTCTGCAGCAGTGAACTCCCCCATTCTGTCTTCCAGGTCACTTATCCGTTCTTCTGCCTCAGTTATTCTGCTATTGATTCCTTCTAGTGTAGTTTTCATTTCAGTTATTGAATTGTTCATCTCTTTTGTTTGTTCTTTAATTCTTCTAGGCCTTTGTTAAATATTTCTTTCATCTTCTTGATCTTTGCCTCTATTCTTTTTCCGAGGTCCTTGATCATCTTCACCATCATTATTCTGAATTCTTTTTCTGGAAGGTTGCCTATCTCCCCTTCATTTAATTGTTTTTCTGAGGTTTTATCTTGTTCCTTCATGTGGTACATAGCCCTCTGCCTTTTTATCTTGTCTGTTTTCCTGTGAATGTGGTTTTTGTTCCACAGGCTGCAGGATTGTAGTTCTTCTTGCTTCTGCTGTCTGCCCTCTGGTGGATGAGGCTATCTAAGAGGCTTGTGTAGGTTTCCTGATGGGAGGGACTGGTGGTGGTAGAGCTGACTGTCGCCTAAACTTTGATGTCTATTTGTTATTTTGGTCACCAAGGGCCAGTCTGTGTATTTCTCAAGGTCGTAGAGAAAGACCAAGTTGCTATGGTTTTAGAACACTAATACACTCTTTTTTTTCTGTTCTGAATTTAGAACTATTTAAGTAGCAATTTCTAGGAGGCAAATAGAATTCAGCATGTCAGCTTTAATACTGATACAGCTGATTGCAGAGCATATCTTTATATTACAGTAAAAAGAACTTGCTAACACCATGTATTTCTCTGCAGTCTAAATCCTAGAACTTCAAACCCAAAGCACTAGCCACGAATTGTCTCATACCTGGAATGGAAGACAGAAAGAGAATGGATGTTATAAGTTATATGGGGAATCTAAAAAATAAAACAAATGAATGAATATAACAAAGCAAATACAGAGGCACAGGTATAGAGAATAAACTAGTGGTTACCAAAAGGGAGAGGAAAGCAGAGAGGGGTAAGATAAGGGTAGTGTACTAAGAGGTACAAACTACTAAGTATAAAAGGAACAAGCTACATTTATTGTATGTATTGTACAGCACAGGGAATATAGCCAATATTTTATAATAACTATAAATAGAGTATAACCTTTAAAAAATTTGAATCACTTTGTTGTATACCTGAAACTAGTATAATATTGTAAATCAAATATACCTTAATAAAAAATAAAGATGGGCATTACCTAATACTGGCAAGGATACAGATCTGGCATTCTCACACTTTGATGGGGGCCATGTAAAATTGTACAACTACTTTGGAATAACTAGGTGATTTGTTATAAATTTAATACACTGTTAATATACAAAGCAGTCATTCTATTCCCATTATTTACCTAAGGGAAAGGGTAACCCATACCCAAAAAAGACTCAAAGAAAGTTCTTAGCAGCAGGAACTGGAACTGCTCACTGCTCATCAACTCATGAATGATAAACAATCTAGTGTCTGATTACAGTAAAAGGAACAGAATATAGATACACACTGTCTCCTGAAACTCATTACTACCATGCTGAGCAAAAGAAGGCAGACCCAAAAATGTTCATATGGCATGTGGCTCCACTGGTGTGGGTTTCTAAAACCTGAAAATCGAAACTGTTGCAACAGGCAGCAGATTGGTTGTCATCTGTAGATGCGCAAGGGATGATTGATTGCAAAGAAGCACGGGAGAACCTTCTGGAAGTGTTCTACATCCTGGTAAAGGTGGTGGATGCCCAAATATGTACATGTATGATTTCATTGAATTATATACTAAACTGGTAGATTGTATTGTATGTAAATTATACCTCTATAAAGCTGATTTTTTGTTTAAAAAAAGTAGAAGCCAACTAGTAAAGTTAGAAAATTTTACTTTTTGCCAAAGTAAACATATTTTAGATAACATATATTGCTTTGATTGGTATTTTGGTATTTTGATAAAATATATACCAGTTAGGGTTTTCACCTCCTTCCTTTTACCTCCTTCCCTCCCTTCCTTCCCATTTTTCCCTTTTTCCTTCATATCTTTAAACATTTCTTTCACCTGTAATTTAAAATTGTGTATGTCAAAGTTTATCCCTGGTTGCAACACCTTTCTATTTAGACAGATCCTCATAATTGATCTGCCTATATTGTTCAATAGCCTCACTTATATTGCTGAAAACATAGTCAACATAGTCTCTACATTAAAATCTTAATAGTCATCATAGTTGTATCAATTACTGTATTATCTTTAAGCAGATTGGGCTATTTGAAGGTTACCATGCATACATAAATATATTCTCCAGGTTTTATAATAGTACATTATTCAGTTGAAAAGTTTTTCTACCACTTCAAAGATTTCTTGAACTTTTGCCATCATTATTATGTGGTTGTGGTTGTCCCTACAATGACCTTTTAGATATCATTGCTTGGAGAACATGCTATTTCACTGCAACAGCGTTTTTGAATACTAGACCTTAAAAGTCAATACTGTTCTTTTTGTGACCTCCTTTCCACATAGTAATGTGACACATGGGAAACATACATTGAGAAATGAGGATCTCTGTTGAACATTAGAACAAAAAGAACTCAGTCCATCTTAGTGATCTTCAAATTGAGAGACAATTTTACACTTTAACATGATTGAGCATAGAAACATTTTAGACCTGGAGTGCAGTAAGCAATATTACAAATGGGTTGGGAAGGAGGATAAAAAGACTTATGAACACATTTATAAATTAAATTGAGAATGGTAATATCCCCAGCCTTGAGACATTTTGGCTAAGCAATGCTGTCTAATTGAAAATATGAAAGGAAAAAATAATTTACCCTCTTCTCAGTCTATTAAAACCCCAGGGGCAACTTGCTTTGTAAAGCAGATCAAAGCACTTTTACAAACAGATGTAGCTTGATCAAAGTCAACATAAATGATTTGGATTAATGCTCACCATAGATAAAATAACAAGCAAATGTGTTCTTTGCTTTTTTAGTTTTTCATAATGTTAGCTTATTTTAATCTTATCTGTATAAGTAAATATAATCAATTTATCTTGCCAAGTGGATACTATTTTTGTTGATTATTGTAGATCCAGGCTTGTTATGAGTTCACATTAAATAATGTATATGAAAAGGGTTTTGGAAAATAGAAAGCATTATACAAATGAAAGTGATTATTATGATTGTAATCATCTTAAATAGTGAGAGTAACTGCTGTGAACATCTTAAAATATGCTTCCAACTAGGATAATCAGTCTTCCGTCAGTTGCATTTATTTTATGAGTACACATACAGCATTCTACATTATACCAACTGGTGAGGTAGAAAGGAAGGAAAATATATGATCTGTGTGTTTTGGAAAACTTCACAATTTAAAGGGGGCACATGATAATCTTGAGTGAATGAAAGATAACATATGCACATCAAATACCAAGCATATAAATTATGACAAGATTAATACAGAGTATCTACTCCTGCGGAACAGTAAGGCAAACAAATACAACCAAATAACCAGTAAAATAGGCTGTGGGGAGTAATATATACTTGTACAAAGCACATGTGGCACATAGGTTGGACAGCTTAGCACAGTGGTAGCAATTTAGCAGACCATAATCCCAAATTTGATTGAAAATGTGTTTTATTTAACCAAGGCAGTGTTACACTTTTCTTCCGTCCCTCCGTCCCTCCTTCCTTTGCTTCCTTCCTTTCTTCTGACAGAAGATGCATAAGCCCTTTATACCGAAAATTGTAAATCTGTATTATGGATTACAAATAAAGCCTTCAATAAATAAAATGTACACTGTTAGCTCTGAGATTTAATTTTACCATACTTCAAAGCTGAGAAATTAACCTGTTAGTGTTTCATAGATTCTGAGCTAGAAAAAAGAAACATTAGTACTCACCACTAAGGAAGCAGCATTCGTATTGCCATATTTGCTTTAGTCCTCTTGTCTGCGATCCCCCCAAGACTACAGGGTTATGTGATGGGACCATGTTGATGCCTGCACATGCAGTGGGCTGGATTATAGGTGAGTTTGGGGAATCCACTGCTTTCATAGCAAGTAGTAAGCAAGCCTGTTTTTGTTTGTTTTTGTTTTTCAGTTGAGTGGAAGGATTATCTCATTTCTCAAACTTACCAGCTACATAAACAACACTGAGATGTGTCCTGTTCCAGTCCGCTAGAGAGCAGTCACCTCAGCAAGATTTGTAGGAGGAACACAAATTCAGAAGAACTGTCTCTCCCAACAGGTACTATGTTCCATAATTAGTATGTATAAATATGATTTTATATATATAAAGGTACACAGAAATCATAGAAATACATTAATTCTCTCCAAATGAATTTATGAGTTTACTGCAAGTCTGATCAAAATCTCAACAAGGATATGAGGATATGAAAAGATATACATGGCTGGAGGGAATGTGTATTGACAAAATTGTTATGGATTTTTATTGAGTTATATCTAGTAAAATTGATGACAGTCATGTTGTATGATTCAGAATTTCTTTTAAAAATGTGTCTACCTTAGTGGAACTCTTCTATATGTACATAAGGATGCTCATGGCATGATGCTTTTGCAGTATTGTTTATCTTGGAAAAAATACTAAATGCTTATCAATATGAGAATGGATAAATAAACTAACTAGCAATTAAAATAAATTAGTTAGATCCAGTGGAATAATACTCAAAACCTACTGTGCAGTAAAATAAGTTAAGAAGAATAGATGCCATATATGCAACTTTTAAATATTGAACAATATTATTTATTATTTATGAATACAAAATAGTAGACATTTGATACCATATGCAGCAAAAATATACTACAATTTGAGGATACTTACTACCTTTAGATAAAGAGGAAAATGGGTGCATACAGTAGAGTGGAAAGCTTTAACTGTTTATGAAATGTTTTATTTCTTTAAAATAAGATTTGAAGCAACTACAGCAAAATGTTAACAGTTGTTAAATCTGGATGGTGGGAATATGGGTATCTATCACAATATTGTTTCTGACTATATGCTTAAAACATTTCAATATTAAAATTTAAAAAAACTGCAAAGGGCTTCCCTGGTGGCGCAGTGGTTGAGAGTCCGCCTGCCGATGCAGGGGACGTGGATTCGTGCCCTGGTCCAGGAAGATCCCACATGCCGCAGAGCGGCTGGGCCTGTGAGCCATGGCCGCTGAGCCTGCGCGTCTGGAGCCTGTGCTCCACAACAGGAGAGGCCACAACAGTGAGAGGCCCGTGTATCACAAAAAAATAAAAAATAAAATTAAAAAAACCCTGCAAAATATTAGTACTTCGCCTGCCTGCCTGCCTCTCTGAGTAAATGAATGCATATAGAAATATTAAGAATTTTATTCAGCAACTACACTTACAAGATAATAGAGTGATTAGTTTTGAGCATGAGCCATGTTCTCATGTTCATTTAAAATTTAATTATAATCACTGAAAAATAGAATATTATACAACAGTTTAAAGACAATATTTTCCTAGAAGCAAAAGAATGAGGATAAGCAAGACAAGCTCTGCTTGGAAGGTTATTTGAAGTAGGGATTAAGTATTCTGACCCCAAACAATGACAGTCTTAATATTGAAAGCTTTGCAATGAGAAGCAAAATAATTTCTAGGAGATGTTCAAACTGTGATTTTATATTTTAACATCAGCCTGTATTGGTGGCGTGTATGCTTTTACAGTTTCTGATTCACTATACTGTTCACCTCTAATGTATTTATAAAACTCAGTCAATTGTTTATAAATTTACCTAATCCTTTGGAGGCCCTTGTACATTTAAAGGTTTCAACATTGTTTTCTCTGTTTATTTAATGCTATATATTCACATCTGTTTCATTTCATTTTATGAAGTTATTTTATGTTTTGAAAAGTATTAAGCACTTATTACATAATAAACTTCAAACTCCAAAATAAACAAAGAAACAACAACAGCCATATTCCATAACACAAAAAACAACCATTATTAACATTTGGCTTCTTTTAGTACTTTTATATGCATACCTTTATTTTTAACATAATTGCAACCATAACATATATAAATCACTCTTCACGCTTCTGACATTTATTTTGAGATTTATTCCCAGAAGATAGAATTTAGCACTTAAACTTAGTTTTAAGAGTTTTTTTTTCTTTTTTCTTTTTTGTGGGGGAATTTGGATCACAGTGGTAAAAACTACAGAAAAGTTTGATTTAGAAAATGGCCTGATTATTTATATATGCTTAGAGATTCCGGAAATTTTTTTGCGTGTACTAAGGAAGTACTGAAGCTGGGGTTTTTCTCTGATTTTAAGGCTGGGTGATGAAGGCAGGTTGGACCTAGGCAAAGCAGGGGAAGGCTTTTGTAGGTGTTCATCTCTGCCCTTTCAGTTCTCTTGGAAGAGGTGCTTAGGAATAAGAGTGGTTAAAAAAATGGAAGAAAATATCACAGAAATTGACTTTTAAGCTTAATTTCAGATTTAACTTGGAGGAAAATTTTGTATACCCTGAGAGACCAGAACATTTTTTCCTTGCCAAATACTGTGTAAGTGGTGAAAGTGTCTATTTTGCACAAGCTGCCAAAAAGAGAGTGAAGTTTCATACTCTACATGAGTAATTGTAGAACACTATGACAAGGACATCTATATTCTAAGGATTCCCGGTCTCGATTTGATCTGTAGTATCCCTAAGTCTGATAAGTTTGTAGTTTTATTTTCTACATACGTTTGCTTTAAGAAAATTAAAAATTTTGTGGAACAAAGTCGAGTGAATCAGTCAATGCAATAATAAGCCTCAATATATTGATTAAAAACAACGTAACACTCAATTCCCCACTATGCTAAATCTCTGTGAGTTGTTTTAAGGTGCTCTGGCAGTGAGTGACTAGTTGAGTTGCAGAAAATTTTAGGAAAAATACATATTTAATTTATATGGGCTAGGATTGCATGGTACGTGAATCAGTCCACATGCATCTGTTCTTTCGCTTCTATGCAAAAAACCTTTGTTCATCATCTCACTTGCTTAAAAAATATAATTTTGGGGATGTCCCTGGTGGCGCAGTGGTTAAGAATCCACCTGCCAATGCAGGGTACACGGGTTCAAGCCCTGGTCTGGGAAGATCCCACATGCAGCGGAGCAACTAAGCCCATGCGCCACAACCACTGAGCCTGCGCTCTAGAGCCCGCGAGACACAACTGCTGAGCCCGTGTGCCACAACTACTGAAGCCTGCACGCCTAGAGCCCGTGCTCTGCAACAAGAGAAGCCACAGCAGTGAGAAGCCCGCGCACCGCAACGAAGAGTAGTCCCTGCTCGCTGCAACTAGAGGAAGCCCATGCACAGCAATGAAGACCCAACACAGCCATAAATAAATAAATTAATTAAATATATATATAATTTTATTTTTGCTAAATGATACCTAATCGAGAAAAAAAGAAGGCTGATATACATATTAGCAAAACACTACCCCAAACATAAAACAATCAAAAATATTCAATTGGGGGCTTCCCTGGTGGCGCAGTGGTTGAGAGTCCACCTACCGATGCAGGGGACACGGGTTCGTGCCCCGGTCTGGGAAGATCCCACATGCCGCGGGGCGGCTGGGCCCGTGAGCCATGGCCACTGAGTCTGCGCGTCCGGAGCCTGTACTCCGCAACGGGAGAGGCCACAACAGTGAGAGGCCCGCGTACCACCAAAATAAATAAATAAATAAATAAAATATTAAAAAAAAAAAATATTCAATTGGAATTTTCCATTCCTCACTTGTTAAGGTTAATGAAGTTTTACTTTAACATACATTAATGTAGTTTGTATGTGTGTGTGTGATGTTTTGACATAGTATTCTGTTGATGGTCTATACCTGCACTGTTATTAAATGCAGTATCCACTAGACACATGTGGCTACTGAACATTTGAAATGTCATTAGTCCAAATTGAGGTGAATGTAAAATACATGTTAGACTTTAGATGAATTCATATGTAAAAAAGTCTCATCAATTTTTTATATTGATTACATGTTAAATGATAATATTTTGGCTATATTTGTTTAAATACATTTAATTTGATCTTTTAACTTTTAAAAAGTGACTTCTAGAAAATTTAAATTGCATGGCTTTAAACTTTAAATGCACATTTATGGAAAACACTATATTTCTGTTATTCTGGAACACAAGTAACAATTACAAGAATACTCAAAACACATGACAGTATTTTCTTATTTTTTTGAATAGAGGACTCTAAAAATATTTAGATCTATGTGGAAAATGAAAGATCACTTTAATTCTGAATTAATTTTGTAACATTCCTGCCAGGACATATACAACATATAAGTGTTAAACTTACCAATAGTAACTAAGAGATGCTGCAACCAATTCCAGGAACTTGCGTTTATACACCTTGTGATTTTTATTTCAATTTACCCTCAGAGTTTATGGTATATTCTTTTCCATGTCCATGTTGACAGGTTCTACCTGTGTTTGAGGAAGATGATTTGTATTTTAAATTATAAATATGGATGCCAAATTTTCATCTTATAGCTGATAATGTCTAATTTATAGGAGATATAATATATGAGCCAAACCAGTCTTTTAAATAAATTCCAGAAATATACAGATTCTCCCAGTCCAGGTACAGAGGTGCTGGATCCAGGCAGAACTCCCTCTGCACAACAGCCCTCCTAAAAACCCCTCCTAAAATCTCAAAGCACAGAGGAGCAGGGAGAATTCACTCTCTGCTAGCAAGAGGACAAAAGCAGGTAGTGCCAGGACAGCCATGCCTAGTTAGTTTTCCCCAATTTAACTACTGGTTAATCTACTTTCTCTTTTCAAAAGAGTGAATACAGGAACAGAGTCAGTGAAGAAGTATATTCCTTCTATCAACCCATAAAATGGGAAAAATATTTTTCCTTAGTATTGATTACTATCATTTAATATATCTTTACAGATCTCATAATATTACTGCCAACTATGTATTTATACAATCCTTACAACTCTTTTATTTCTGTAGTTGTTTTATTTCCATCTAGAAGATAAAAGAATAGAGTCTCTGAGAGTTCAAACAACTTGCCCAGCATTATGTAGCCAGAAAGTGGAAGATGCTTTTACTACACTGCTGTTCTGTCTATTGCATCTCCAGTGAAATTAAACACGATCTCTCAAGAATTCTACAAATGTTGAGTACAAGTTTTTTCAATGAAATGTATCAGGATGGTGATTGCAATTATTAAAAACAAAATGAAGAAAAACAGACATTTTTTCTCCCT